TCCGAACGGCATTCGGAGATACTCGAAATGACCATTTGGCACGGAGAAAGCAGTTTTGCTAATCGATTCTTCAGACATCGGAATTTGGTGGAAACCTTGTGCAAGGTCTAGGCAAGAAAAGTATGTGCATCGACCTAGGTTGTCAAGAATTTCATCTATTCGGGGTAAGGGATATTTGTCTTCTGTAGTTTTTGAATTTAAAGTTCGATAGTCTATTACCAGTCTATATTTCTTTGTGCCTGAAGCATTTAATTTTTTGGGGACAATCCAAACTGGACTGGAATATGGTGATATGGAAGGTCGAATTATTTCATTATCGAGTAGTTTTTGAATTTGAGAAGAAATTTCTTTTTGTATTACCGGGGGATGTCTGAAAGTTTTTGAGTAAACCGGTATGTCATCGGTCGTGGGGATTTTATGCTTAATTGTCGTAGTTGCCGAAAGCAATTGGTTTTCATTATAAAAGATTCCCGAAAAATCTTTACATAGTTTTATAATTTTTTCTTTTTCTTCGGAATTAAGGTGATCTAGTCTTAAATTATTTACATTTAATGGAGTTTTTTCTTGGGAAATATTGCCGATATCAAAATTATGTAAGGGTTAAACAGGGATAATGTTATGAAAATTCTCATCAATATAAGGGACAGATACATAGCCGTTAAAAGCGGTATGAATTGATTGGGGAATAACAATTTTGTGATTATTATTAAGTATCGAGGGAAGTAAAACATCACCGTCAGAAATGGACACCGGGATTTTTGTTTATTTTGGGATTGAAGTATTTAAATTTAATTAAAATTGGACCGATAGTTAATGTGTTTGTTTGATAGTCTATATTACTTTTAAACTGTCCTAAGTCGTGGGATGATAGAAGGACATCATATTGAGTATGCCAATTTATTACATGAAAATTCATAGGAAAATGTATGCCAAAGTGTTGTAAAATGGGACAACGTAAATTTATATTATCGGAGTATGTTTTCGTTAGAGATCGAATAGTAAAAGGTTCTTCAAAAAAATATTGTTTGGAGAATTTTGCGGCAGCTTGAGGGGTTATTATTGAATCCGTCGCTCCAGTATCAATTAAAACTCGTAATTTTAAGTCGGGGATGTCGAAATATGGTAGTCGGGGTAAATTTGCTAAGTTGTTTAAATCTATCTCGGGGGCTGATGGTGGCTCTCCGTGTAAAAATTTTGAGACTCGAAATCGTAGTCGGATGATTGGAAATCGTTGTCAGATGTTTGAAAATCGTAGTCAGATGTTTGAAAATTGTCATGAGATGTTTGAATATCGTCATGATAATTAACAGAATTTTCGAAATTTGTTCACAATCCAAATTTTTGTCAAATAATTCTAAATTGTGATGATTGTGTTGTTGTCTGTTAGATTGAATGGTAGAAGTTGACATAGGCTCGGGATAGGAATTTTGCTGATGGCGTGAATTATTAGAATGAGTTGTGGAAGTGGACATTGGTTGGGGGTATGAGTTTGTATGGCGGTAAGAATTATTGAAAGTCTGGTTGTATCGTCTTTGAGGATTGTTTACATTACCGGAAAAACCTGGTCTATTCTCAAAACTTTGTCGCGGATACGTTTGCGAATGATAAGAAGTCGAATTAGAATTTTGTGGCAAATTTTTATTATAATTTTGACTTTGCGAACGATTGGGGTTATTTCTGAAATTTTGCGAATAGTTGGGGTTATGTTTAACATTTTGAGATCGAGAATTTTGTGATTGATAACTTAAACTTTTTCGATGAGCCATTAAATTATCGTAATCAGAACAGCGTTTTACACAATCCTCCATTGTGTCGGGGGATGTTGAACATAAAAGGTCTATATGGTTGATTAATACCTGTTTTAAGCGTCATTAATGCCTTGTTTGTATATATTTGTTTTTGAGCTTCAACTACAGCTGGTTGTTGATTATTTTTTAATCGAGTTAACTGAATAAGCTCATTTAATTTTAAATTAATGCGAAGATGAAAGTCCATAAAAGATTAATTTGGTTTTTGAGTTAAACTACATAAAATTCTTTCGAGGGTTACCTCCGATCGAATTTCACCAAATTTTGTCAGCAATTGGGCCCGAATAATTGCCCAAGTATTAAAATTATTAGGAACAAACGCGTCATAATTATTAGAAGTTATAAAATCTTTAGGAAGCCCTTTAATTTTACCCACTGTATATAAATTAAACAACAAACGTTGAGGATTTGTAATAGTAAATGTTCCTGGAAAAAGCGATACTATTTTATCAACAGCATGAATAAATTCATTTAGATTACCATTCTCGTGGCTGTACTCAGGTATCGTTTTACAAAATGCTTAAGTTCATCATTAGAAATTGCAATGGCCATGATAATATTTTCGCGAAAGCGGTTATCCAAACTACGAACAGAGAGATCCGATTCTGAATCGGAATTTTCGTGGTTTCGATAACGTAAGTCTCGGATGGTTTGCAATTCGTTTTCGTCCAAATCACTTAAATGAATTTCACTCAATGACATTTATTTACACGATAAGGCTTAATAAAATATGCAACGTATACTTAAATTAATAAAAATAAAAATAAAATTTATGCGATGTAAGCTAAAATTAATATATTATTTAAACAATAATAAAGTGTTTGCTATTAATTATTAATTATTATTATTAATTAATTAATAAATTTGTCTATTTATTAACTGTGCTTAAATTAAAATTTAATAATAAAATATAAGCAATAAAGTTTTTTAATTTAATATTAAAATGTATGCAATACCTAAATATAAATTATTAACCAACGTGCTTGAATATAAATTAATTTGAAAAAAAAATTTAATTTTTTATTTTTCTTATTTATTTATTATTATTATTTTTTTTATTAAGTGAGTGTGATTGATTTTGAACAAGGGGAAACCAAGAGGTACTTACGGAAGGAAAATGAGGGAATACCACATAACGTTGAAACAGCAGACTTGGCACCAAATTCCGGGAAGAATGTTCAAAAATTGACTTCGATGAAGAATTTGGTCTGATCAGGTCTTTCTGTCGATAAGCTTCTTGATTTTTCTTGCGTCTTTAACGTTCTTCGTTCTTGGTCCGGATTTCCAAATAAATCGTAAAACGAACCGTTGATATACGTTTTGGCAATCCTGTTCGCAGCGCCAGTTAAATATTTTGGATGAAAACACAAGTTTTTATGAACACCAAATATTTATTGAAGAAGAAGTTAACAAGTTAATGATTTGACGATTCAATCAACACCGATCAAAAATAAATTTTATAAAAAGGGAAAAAGCACAAAATGATTGCGAAAAGTAAATTACACGGGTTTTTATGTCTTAACGGATGTAGCTTGATTTTGTTTAATATTATATGATATTTCCATTAACTTTAATTCTTAGGTCGCTATACCGCCTGCAGGGTCGGCGTCCGTAACACGCGCTTTGCCCCACTTTCCCCAGTACGCGCGTTACATTGCCGCAATAAGATAAACATAAATGACCATTTATATCTTCCACCACGTAGCGTCTCCAAAAACTCAATATTATGCAATAGGAGTATATTAATAGTATTATTTAATAAAATGTATATAATTTTAACTTTTATTACTCCTTTAACAAATATCAATGTTATTGGCATCAACTCAGCTCTAAGAAGTTATTCATTATTGTATTAGTACAATATTAACTTTATTTTTCTGGTACAATAATGATAGACATGATCGTTGACAATTAATCGATAAAAAACATTTTGTATTACCCTATTTTGTTTATATTATCTTTGCCTATGCTTTCGGAGAAATCATCTCATTGATAGATTGTCATTGACACTGTCATTCATATTAAGATTATGTTTTTTAGTTTTTGTTATATCATAAAATAGTATATGTTATTCGGAGAAAAAGGTATTTTTGTGCTTCCCTCAATTGCTTTGCCTTGGCGCAAAGCGCCTCGGCTGCAAACTTTTGATCTCAGCACAAAGATTACTTCTCTTAATGACAGAATCTAATATCATGTTTATTTTCATTTAACAAAATGTTTTTATTTTTAAGTGTCCTACAATTTAAGCTTTAGTATTATAATATATTAGTAAGCGTTGATAATTACACTACTTATTACATTATCATTATAACGCTTACTACTAAAGTATTCAATTATCTCCTAGTCTGTAAAAATAATTTAGACCAATTAGGTAGTTTTTTACTTCATAGTCTGTAAAAAACTTGTTAGGACCAATCAAAAAATTCGCTAACTGATGACAGCTCTAAGCTATCTAACCTCACTTTATACTTTTAATAATTGTTATTATAATTGAGGACCCTAGAAGACAACGGATACAAGTACATTTTGTTTAGTTTTAAGATAATCATGTTTAAAGTAAAAAAACACATGTAATTTGGAGTCAAAATTGTTTGTTCTTTTATGACTTTGTTTTTCAAGATGTTTAAGCTTAGAATTTAGTTATATCCCTTGGATACCAAGTAAAATGTATCTTTTTCTGTACATAACTATTTTTTTTTAAATGTCACTTGTATGCCTTGGCTTCTAGGATCATCAATTGTAAGTGCGTTTTATGTATCATTTAACAAATAAAACTGTGCCTTCGGCTAAGACGTGTCTTTTTTTGCATCGCTCAATTGTAAGCCTCCGCTGACGCGTCCGCCCTCAAACTTTGACCTCAGCACAAAACGACTTACTTCTTAGCCTTATGACATAAATAACTATTATAATTAATTGACTATCAGACTTAAATACCAAAAAGACTTAATTAAATTTCTAAATTAAAGTTACCAAATAAAACCATTTTTTTAATACATTTATTTTTCTGCATGCACAAACAATAATTGCTATATGTTTTTATGTTAAAATAATTAAGTATGAATTATACTTACTACATTATTATATTTGCCATTTTTTATCTAAATAAGCTTATTTAATATAAAATAGTTCAATTTTAGTTTTTTATTTAATAATTGACAAGGGATACAATGCCAAACTAAAGTAAATAACCAATATTAGTAGTGGATTCCCTAATTTTTTTTTTAAATTTTTATAACATTATTTTATTCAATCCCATCACGGCTAAGTCTGAATCTCGCGAAATCTTCGAATATGATATTATCATCATCATCATTAGCAAAGCTACCCTGATATCGGCCTCTGTCTACCGATTTCATCTTCTTTAATGTCTGAGATTTTTCTTTGGGTTCGAAACCAGGAGCACGGTGTAACAGTTTGAATGGTACATCGGTAACTAATTCTCCGCCCAAAGTGCCGCAGTTTAATTTTACTCTTAATGAGTAGGAAATGACGATACCAATCGCGTCGATTGAACATTTTCCATCAGGTACTAAAGTAGAACTGGCTAAGTTTACGTCATCGTCTTTCAAATGACCATCCAAGGCAACGCCTCTACGATCTTTATTGCTCGATGCTAAAGGTACCAAGTAGATAACTTTGGTAAAACTGGCACCCGGTGTTATTGGACAGCCTTCTCTGGTTTCTAAGCTTGCCACATATTTGGAGAACTGCGTGTTGATCATCGTAACCTAAATAATTTCTAATTTAAAATAATTCTTAAATCAATATGTATTTTATACCTCGCAATGTTGGACTACGTAGCATTTTATGTTGCGAACCATTTTCCTTGAATTATTGCTGATCATTATGTTAGCACCAATTTTTTCACCATGGTAGTAAATTTCCCTGTCCAAAGTTACTTCCAAATTTATTTTTCCGCTAGAAAATGTGAATCCTTTGGATACCAAAGAACTTGGAAGACGATTTCCGACGTTATCAGATGGAGCAAATTGAAGTTTCTTAATTGCCAAAGAGACGGTGCTCCTCTTATGACCTTAGTTTGTCATAAAAATAAAACAAAATAAAATAATTGTAAATCAATAAAATCAGTTTTTTAATCGTGTGCACAAAGTAATAAGTACTTATCCGCACGCATTTGCGTGCGCAAAGTTGTACTTTTCCGCACGCTTAGGTACACGGAAAAAAATACATTTCTAAATCCAAATATAGTTCTATACTTATAATTTTATATTTGATCCATTAATAATTTACTTAGAAAAACAATACGTTATTATTCATTCAAGTATTTGCTTAATGTTAATTTCCAACTCTTTCAATATTCAATTTAAGTATTTTTTATTTAAACAAAGAATAAAAAATATATTTTATTAAATAAAGGATTGTTCTTAAATTAAGTGAAAATGTTTTCTCTTTTGAAATCCATATAATTCTTCAATTAAGAACTTAAAAAATACTTCAATTAAATATATTAACTATTGCAATAACACTAAATTATACTTGTATAATTATTATTACTTTGAGACAAGTACCATTTTATTGAACAAAGAGTAATTCATCTTTGCCAAAATAACATTATATTTGAAGAGAGTATACTTATTCTTAAATAAAGTGTAAAAGTATTGCGACGCAGTAGGCGACAGGCGCAGTAACTGCGTAGTACATAAAGGGAAGGGAGAAGAAACCATTTTGCTAGGTACGCGTACGTGACCACAACAATAGCAGAGACAATAGTGTGTTTTTGGGACTTTTGTGATCCTTTTTCTATGTTTTGTGTGCTAAAGACATGGATGTTTTATTAAAGGAGTGGAATTTCGAATCCTTAATTCCAATATTTGAAGGTAAGTTTAATTTCTCATACTTAATTATAATAATACGGGCAACGGGAATAAACATGGAAAAATACCGAGAAAAATTCAAAAAATTATTAAGCCCTATTTGTATGGGTAGCTATTTGGGTATTTTGAGTAAAAACAAACCGTTATTTAATATAATAGGTTTGTTCTAACATCAAATTTCTGTTGGTTTGAGGCTGGTATACGGTAAAGCAGTGCTGCCAACTCTCTAAAATATTTATCCCTAAAGCTAAGTCAAACCCCCTAAAATCGACACAATTACTTGAAAATCTCCCTAAACAATTAATATTATTTAAAAAATAATAATAAAAAATAATTAATAATAAAGTACTAAATAATATTCTGTACTTTAATAACACTGGTTTACAGCAAAAAAATAGAAACTTTCTCTTACATTTTTTTAAGGTAATTCGGGTGCGCTTAACACGAAAAGCATATTCTTTTTTTTTTCATTTGGGCCATTCACCTAGGTAACGGTATATTTGTGTTTTTCTATTTATGATTTTACTTGAATCAGCATCTCGAGTAAACGGCAGGCCCGATCGAGATAATTAATATATTGTTAAAAAGGTGATTTCAATGCGGGTCCAACGGTACCCAATTTTTTTTCGATCGGATGAAAAATGGCTGAGTTGCAGTTGATAAAAGTTTAAATTTCATACAATTTTTGACGATTTTTAGCCATTTTTGTCAATTGAGTAATTTTTTACAACAACAAATAACTCCAATATTTTAAGTTTAACATTTTTAATCAAAAGTTTATTTAATTACAAAAAAATTAAGCCCTAACAGATTAAGAACGCATAAAAAATATAAATATTATGATAAAAATAAGAAAAAACTAGTTTTTAAATTAATGCAAATATTTTTAGTTTTTTCTTATTTTTATCATATTTTTAATCCGATCTTGGTCTTCTAGGGCTTAAAATTTTTATAATTATATATACAATTGATTAGAAATAAAACTTGAAATATTGGAATTATTTGTTGTGGGAAAAAAAATTACTCAAATGACGAAAATTGCTGTAAATCGTCAAAAATTGCATGAAGTTTGAAATTTTATAAGCTGTAACTCAGCCATTTTTCATCTGATCAAAACGAATTTGGTACCTTTGTACGCGTAATTTAGTCACCTTTCTAATAATATCTCGACTTATCTGAATTGGGCTTGCCGTTCAATCTGGGCTGCTGCGCGCTGGTTTAAGTAAAGTAATTCATCGAAAAACAAAAATACACCGTTACCTAGGTGAATGGCCCAAATGAGAAAAAAATGAGTATGTTTTTCGTGTTCAGCGCATCTGAATTACCCTAAAAAAATGAAGAAGAAAGTTTCTATCTTTAAAAAATTTAAATTTGTAAACCAGTGTAATTAATTATTAATAATCTTTAATATTCTTTATTCATAAATTGTTTATTACCTACATCAAATATAATTTCGTCTTCTGATTCTGATTTTTTAAATTGTACATGTTTACATTACATACACCTAACATTTTTTGCAAGATACGCCATTTCGTTGCAATGTGAATCTTACCATAATACATGTTTACATTACATACACCTAACATTTTTTGCAAGATACGCCATTTCGTTGCAATGTGAATCTTACCATAATACACAGAGTAGACCATAATACTTTGTAACATTTCAATAGATTGGGTATTTCGCACATTCTTGACAAGATTATATAAGGAGAATGCGCGTTCGCCACTTGCGTTTGAAATAGGATTGACAAAATTATGTTATCCCAGGTTCTATATTTTTAGACTTATATTTCTTTTATTTAAAAAAATAAATATCAATAGTAAAAAATCCCTAAAAATATAAAGCCCCTAAAAAAATCCCATCCCACTCATTTACCCCCTAAAGTTGGCAGCACTGCGCCAAAGAAGCATCGGGTTTTCGCAACGCGTGCGCCATCTGGTGTCAACATTATTGAAGTAATAGGTTTGTCAACAATAAATTAAAATACAAATTGCACATTATTTTTAAATAAATAAGTAGTTTTTTCACAAAGAAGAGGAAAGTACAAGTTTTACTCAAATATTTTGTTCGCCAAGTTTGAATTGCACAGGTTAAGAGAGTACATTAATTGTCTTTTTGTGTTGCAGCCTGCAACTTGCAGGTAAAAATTGAAAAATCACTTGGTTTAGTACTTGATTTCGATTTATTAATTTGTATATGCTTAGTTACGTTATTGTGTGTATTGTGATCATTGTGAATTATTGTGTTTTTAATTGTAAAGGTAATTAAAGAACTAATTCGAAGTTGCATTTTTATGTTTTGCCAAAGGATCAAATTCAGTACGTATACCTATTTGGTTGTGCAGAATCAACTAATGATAGCTTTATCTAATATAATTTATATTTAAGTTTGGAAGTTTTTAAGAAATTACCACAAAACCTCGCACAAAACAATAACTATAAAAACATAACCTCAATCTTAAACATTTTTATATTTGAGTCCTCTTAAAATAACGCCGACAACTGCATTTAAACAATAATATATTCATGGCAACATAATATTATATAAAATTCATATTATACCCGTTATCGGTACTTTATTGTGCAACAAATCAATAGACGTTTATTTTCTCGATATTTTCCGCACTCATTTTAAAAAACACTCATTTAAAATATATGCTTTTGACAGTTGCTTAATAAAACTGAAGTTAAGTTACGATGATGATGGCCACGAGGTGGCGATACTAGCGATACTTCTTTAGCGTATAGTGGTCCAGTGGACCAGGTCCACATTTAGTCCAGTCACGTTGGTATTTTCCTGCCCAGTGAGCGGTACCAGGCTGAAAACTCGTATACACCTTTATTTTGTCGTTGTCTCAAAAATCAGTAAAACTAGGTATGTCGCTTCGTTAGTTATTGCAGGTCAAAGGTCATAAAAATACGTTTTTTACGTTTATCTCGGTTCCCATGGCTTTAATGATGTCAATACCTATTACAAAAGTTGGAGATAATAAAATTCCTAACCACTTTTGTCTGAAACTTTTTTTCATAAAATGAACCGTTTTTGAGATAGAGCGCAAGGGGCGGGAAGCGCTATTGGTCGAAAAAATGGACATTGACCAATTTAATGTGCCCGCCCAATGGTGAATTTTTGCATACACGTTGTTGTTATGACTATAAATAATTGGTGAAAGTTTCCCATCGATTCGGCGATTGTGTGGGCCGTTACGGAGAGTCAAAGTTCGACCACCCCTTCACCAATATCTCGAAAACGGTCAACTTTTTGACAAATTGGTTTTTAGAAAAGTTTTTCGTCATTTAATTTCCTACAAATTTGGTCTTAGGTAAATTTCTCTACAATGAACCGTTATTGAGATATGGCGCAAATATTGAATAAAAAAAGGGGTAATTCTCGGAAATATTATTTAGGATAATTTAATTATTGTTAAATAAGGTACACCTATGTTTATTTTTAGAAAATGAAATTGACTTGGACAATGTTATGCTTTTGACAGATGATCAAATTAAAGAGTTAATTCCCAAAATGGGACTTAGATTAAAATTTATAAATAAAATTAATCAATACAAAAATGAAGTTAAAAGTAATCAACAAAATACATTACCTTTATTGGATCTACTTGGATTTACTTCCCTAATGAGAAAACTTATGTTGGTGTAAAAAAGTATATAATATATTTTTATGTTAGGGTAAATCATTGATTTATGTTACAGAGTTAGGTTAGGTTAAAATTTAGTTTTACTGTTTGTGTATAGGGTTACCTAAATTAGGTACTACGCTCCACACCTCAAAGTCCCACCACGTGACTACGAAAATTTGACATTGAATGCATTTCAGGTAATGTATATGTCAAAACAAAAGAAATCATATTTATACGTTTACCAGATATGTAGACCAAATCCACAAAGAAATTACTTATTTGCCACCATACACTTTGAAATTTCATGAAATGTAGTATTTATATTCTTAAATTCTTAAACCAACCATTGTTATTGTGATACTATAAAGATTTATTAATTTTTAACACATAAGAGGTAAAAGTATAAATATGATTTCATTCGTTGACTATACTTTGGCAGATATATAACCTGAAATGCCAAATTTTCAAAAGACTGCGTTCCGTACGTAGTCACGTAGTGGGACATTGAGGTGTGGAGCATAGAACCTTGGAATGACAAGGTTCTAAGTGCAGCGTCACTGTTAAATTAAAATGATCTATAGATTATTATTATTTTTATCTATAGATATCTATTGTATACAAATTGTATAATACAAAACTAAATATTGCAGATAAGGCGTTTTCGCTTAACAGGGCACCTGCACTTAGAACCTTGTCATTCCAAGGTAGGTAGCGTAATATCTAACCGTTTTATTTTTTTAATTTGTTATTTTTACTAAAAATAAATATATGTATCTATTTCTAGATGTTTTGTTTTTTTGTAAATACCTATCTTATTTCACATATCAAGTTTAAATACTGATTAAAACGACATTAGTGCAATTAGCTTCAATCATTTATTATATTTGAAGCAAAAATGAATTTATTTAAAACAAATTTTACCTACTTAAAGCAAGAAAAACCCTAAATTTAAATCAAATTAAATGTAAACTATTTTCAATAAAAGTATTCTTTATATTGAAGCTACAATATTTTTAAAACAAAATTAAAAAATACTTCAGATTAGTATTAGTAGTTATTAGAACAATCGGGGGTTATATTTGAAATAAGTATAAGAAATATTTGGAAATAAATTGTAGTTTTTTAAATAAGAATAGCTTAATCTTAAAACAATGTTAAGGCTATTGTCAAATTCAACACTAGCGTATTCTGAATATAAGTAAAATTTTTAAGAATAGGGCTATATTTGAATCAAATATTATGAGTTCTTGTGGAATAGTGAAACGAGTATATTCTTGATCAAACGCTACTATTCTTTAATATAGTGCAGATTTTTTTCCGTGTACTCCACTTCGCGTTGTTCGTGCAATTGCACTAGCGTGCAGAAAAATATAACTTTGCGCACAGGAAAATAACTATTCTACAAGTTTTATATGTACAAATAAAAAATATAAAAATTAAATAGTATGTCACGTGGAACAAGAAAATGAGATGTGTGAATGTGATGGGAAAGAATATTCCTAAGATAAATTTTAATTTTGTTATATAGAACAAAAATGTATTTCAATGTTACTTTATTAAATTAATTTTTTTTAATGTCTTGTTTTGAACTTATTGGCCCAAATATTAAATAAAATTGAATTACCTTTGTCATCTTCATTAGCACCAACATAGCAACGAACTTGGTATTCAACTCCAAGGGGTTTTCCCTGGTCGTCTTCTCCCGGTTGCAAGGTTACAGAGCATGGTGACATATCCGGAAAGCGAAAAGTAAACGGAAAGGCATTGGATCCCATTTTCTTGATAAGTTTTTCCTGTATTGGTGTGAGGGCATCCTGGTTTTCCATATCTTTCCTCTTTGGCACTACCTGTTCGGAAGCGACAATCATCTCTTTGCTGAACTTGACTCCCATGACCTCATCCTCTTCTCGGCCATATCTGTAGGTGGTAACCACCTGAGCAAATACTTTTCTGCCTTGTAGATATTCATTTTCGACAACAATAACTCCATCGATGGGATCGGAGTGGTCTAGATGGTCGATGAAATCCCTCTTTCCGAGATATACAGTTACTTTACCATTAGGAGTTGTTTTCTTGAATACTTTAACTGCAACAACCATTTGATAAAACCGTTACTTATTTAATAATAGTGAATTTAAGTTATTAACTGATGTCTATAGCTGGTAATTCGACCAGAAGTGAGCGTGCGGTGCTCTGATCTTGAATTTAATGTTTTGCGTAAGGCTTCAAAAGACGACATTAATTTAATTACTTTAATTGGATTTATATATATATATAAGATTTCTTACCTGGTTACTTAATTTGTTTTAATGGAACTTATTGCTTTTTATAATTAATTCTTTTACGTTGTTTACATAAGGTATAATTAAATTTGTTTCTGATTCTGAAAATTGAATCTGAACATGAAGACAAATGTTTCGATTTCCTTGTATCTTTTATGGTCAATCTATGCGTAATTGATAGTTCAATTCAATTTCAATCTGTATTTTAATCATATGTGGAACGCCGGTCAATATTATTATTATTATTTTAATAAAAACAATTTTTATGATTCTTTATTATTTTGTTACAAATAAATTGATTGTTAAAAAACTCTCTTTTAAATTTATTGATAAAAAATGCTTCTTTATATTTTAGTTTTTTAATTTAAATAAGGAATTAAAATTATTTTTAACAAATTAATTCAACAAACATTTTAATTTAATTAACATAAAAATAGACAACATTTAAATAAAAGAACTAAAAATAAACAATTTACTTCAAAGAAAATAATGCAGCAAATTATTTTGATTGATGAATTAAAATGATTAAAACGATTGTTGAATTAAAATGTTACATGATAATTTTAAAGGAATTTTAAATTGAATGTTTATTCAAATTGATTGTTTAATTAAATGGTACATAATAATTTAAAATAGAATTAATATGATTGATGAATTAAAATGATTGTTTATAAACAAATAAATTTAAAACGATTAGACAAATAAATCGATTGTTGTACGATAAACAAAATAATAAAAATTATTAAATAATTAAATAATATTATATAATATTAAATAACTGAAAAGGCCAATTTACAAATAAAAATATAGAGATAGAAAATAATTATTTGTTAATGTACCTACAGGTACCTATATTCTTTTACGATACCTACCTATACTGTATACATTATGTACACTATGATAGGCCTGACAGCGAGGTATATCCATATCTCTGCCATCAAATAAAAAAGAAGAAGAAATAATATTTTCACTTTACAAAATAGTTGTGGACAGTGGCGGTTTCTCCATAGGAACAGAATTTAAGTTTCCGAACCTCCTTAAAAAATATTTTTGCACTGTTTCCAAGCACCTTAATAATTATCTAGCCTCGCGCGCTTACGCCGAAAAAAAAATAAAACGAATGAGTTTTAGTGACCCACATGCGATCAAGTAGGTGGAGCCTATGCAGTTTTTCGGTATATTCTTAGCTTGCTGGGGGCAGGGGAATCGAGACTTTTAATAGGGAAACGCGCACACATTTACTGTGCTCTAAAACCAGTTTGCCACGGATTATCTTTCGTATTTCGTGGTGCGTTTAGCGATTTTTAAGGGCTTCAATTATTAGTTCTCTGTTGCATTAATATTTTAACAATTATTGACATTTAAATAACATGTAAATCATGATTTTTTTAATTTAAATTAATAGAGCTCCGTTTGATTTCATGGTATTTCATTGCGATTAGTCAGAATTTGTAGTATATTAGTGACTCTTTGAAAGTGCCCACTAACATTTTTTTTTTACTTGAACCCGTCTCATCGGTGTCGACCTCGAAAGCCCAATTTTCAACAGTTAAACTAAAACAATTGTCAGAGAACAATTTGTGTGCGTTCTTGTCAAATGCAACTTAAAAATAATTAATACCATTTAAAACGCCGAACACGCTTTTTATTTAAATATATATATATATATATATATATATATATTTATGAAATGTATTTAACAATACTTATGGTGGAATAGTATACTATATATATATTTATATATATATATATACATATATATGTGTATTGAATTTGTTACTTATTTTCTTTGGTCTATTTACTCACAGTTTGACAGTATCGCCTCTACGGGTGAGACGTGCTTGTCTTTCCGCTCCGAACTATAAACAAGTATATGCATAGGCTACTTCGAAGTAAAGCAAGTTTGACTTAAAATTAGGTACTCTCCGCCAAATACGACGTGACAAGTAGTACTTAATACACACATAAATCTTAAGTACGTAAGTAAGCAAACCATTTTCTAATCTTTGCCTTAAATAAAGAAACTGCGAGACCTTCCCGAGTTAAAAAAACAAACGTTAGAAGCAGTAAAAAATAATTATAAATGCAATTTCTTAATTGTTAAATAAGAAAAGAACACGTAAACACAATTTCTACCACAACACGAAAACAACGAATAGTCGTTTACAATAAATAGCTATTCTACTACTTAAATAGTTAAATTAGACAAATTAAAATAAGTCACCAGAGATTGCTTCTGTGAGTAAACAAAAACTTTTCTAAAAAAAAACTGTTTAAACCAAATCCACTATTGACTGTTGCATTTGGTAAAATTTGTCCAATCATTAGCGACTACCTTTCCGCTGGGTCAATAAGTCAAATAACCTCAGTCATTTTTGACTGATTTATTCTAAGAGAGTGGGGAAAGAAAAAAACAAGACCCGATGGAAAATGAACACAATACAGAGGCGTACTTAAACGACCACTCACAAATAGGTTATGGGTAGGACTGGGAACTATAACAGCAAGATAATTAGAAATATAAATAATAGGATATGATTTGATAAAAATAAAAAAACGGAACACAATTTTAACCACAAAACGTGGACAAAGAAAAGCTTACATAACTTATACTATCGGTATCCGGCAATCACATTGACTATTGACTATCTATTGATAGTCCTCTGGAGCAAAGATATGGATTGCACAATGGGGCAAACAACTGCGTGCAGCAGATTCCGAATTCCAGCAGACCCGGACAGAGACTCGGATGAAATACAAGACCAGCAAGGATGTCCAAGCAACGTACTAATAAACCAAGCCTCATTCATGAACCCCAATTGAATGGGGTTATTAATAAAACCCTGGTTAAGGGGGAGTACTTAGTTTTGGGTCAGTTCAATGCCCCCAAAAACCAAAATGTTGTCCTTCCTTGTCCTACACTCCACTAGCCTAAATCGGGCGTATGGCCCAACCCGGCGACAAAATTCCGGGAGTGGCCTTAACCACCGACACTGTCATCCACGACCTCCTAGGGAAGATTTACCTACCGGGGTGAAAATTCGGATTTACCAAACACAGGTAACGCTGTGCAGTGGCGGAATACGTAGGAGAACCAAAAGGGGGTAAAATAACGCTGAAAGATCAATGTAAGGCGTTTCCGATGGGGCATGCCATACTTTCTTATACTTATACATATACATATACCTTTTATAATATACCCTTCGATGGAACATGTTTTTAGTTAATATATCCTTGTTTATTTTAAAAATAATAAATATGTATATGTATATGAAATATAATTCTATAAAGGGATAAAATGCTTAACGTTTTAAAAATATTTTATTTTATTTAAGCTAGAAAATATAATTTGGTAAATGTGTGTGTTACGTATAAAATCTGAAAAAGATAATGTTGCTCCTTTTAGTGTTTGTTTCTATTTTGGTTTTTACTTAAATTGCTGTGCTAGCTCAAAAAAATTCATCAATCAAAATATTTTTCCGCATGTTTGAAATAAATTGTTTGTAATTTTAATTCTTTCATTTAAATGGTGTCTATTTTTATGTTACTTGAATTAAAATGTTTGTTGAATTAACTGGTTACATGATAATTTTTATTCCTAATTTAAATTTAAAAACCTAAAATAAAATATAAAGAAACATTTTATTTCAACAATCAATCTAAATGGGCAGAGGTAACAAAATAAATAAAGAATCCTAAAAATGATTTTTATAAAAAAATTAATATTTTCTAAAATGGCGTTTCATAAATAAATGTTTGACGAAGCGCATCTTTTTAATTTATTATAAATTTATATAAGTTAACTTAAAATTGTAAGTGGAATTTTTATATTTTAAATTAGGTATACTGTTAATCACCACTTTGTTATTAATTTTTACAAATATTTGCATTATTGAAATGGCCCAAAATGGCGCACTGACGCTATAATTAATTTTATGCATAAAAAACTTACACTGATTTAGTGTTACTGTATAAGTATACGGTTCTAGGAAATTTCTTCGAAAAAAATTTGTTCGAAGGAAATTTGTTCGAAGAAAATTTGTTCGAAGGAAATTTGTTCGAAAGAAATGTATTCGAAAGAAATTTGTTCGAATAAAAATTTGTTCGACGGAAATTTGTTCGAAAGAAAGCCAAAATATCGAGAGAAAAATATTTTATTAACCACTAGAAAAGTTCAAATATATAATAAATTAGTACGAAATGTTGTGAGCAACACCTCTTAAATATGCTAGGATATCGCCTTGAGGGTCATAATTATTTATAACATTTAGAAGTCTTGCATCTTTATATATTTTTTTTATTTTCAATTGCTCGACCAGCTATAGCCTGTTCAATGCAAAGTTTATTAATAGATTGTTTTAAGGCGGTAATGAACTTCCAAACTGTCGGATGCTCTGCTCCAATCTGTGCCTGGAAACCGCGATGCCATCCTTCCAGAGCATTATTTGTCTTCGGGAGATTTTCGGTTACCGACTGGAAACAATTCCACAACGCAATCGGAAATCGTGGTGCACGGCGTTGTTGTCGGCGAAGCGTACGTCCAATCCAATTGTCCTCGAAGTAATCAACAACCTGCTGGGCTTCCATTGGCAATACTTCGTTGTCTTGAAGCATTTCAAAGGCTGTTTTCACTTGCTCAGTAGGGACAAATGCCAGTGCTGTTAACATCCTCATTTTTAATGCAAAATTTGCATCAGTGTCATATGTTTGCTTAAGTCCTGAAGATTGAATTTGCCTATATATACATTGACAAAAATGGAAAAAACACCCCCTTATAACTGTATTAGGAAATTCAACGGATAAAGCCGCAATCATCGCACTCTCAAAGTCAATCATTACAGATAATGGGTTAACATTTGGATTTAATTCCTTAATAGCACGTAAAAGTTCCCGGTACGTTGTTTCTGTTTTATTGGGCAACAATGCATATAATAATGGAATTGCAATGCAATCGCCAAATCCATGTACAGTGTACAGTTGCGCGAACTGTGTTGGCACTGTTTTAAATGTTCCGTCAGCATACCAGTGTAGGGAAGACTTGAGAAGTTCCAGATTTTTTCGGGTGCCAAAAATTAAAATCCTGTCGGGTGTCATTCCAGAATCGTACAACAGGAAGTTTTCACCACTGCTTGTCTGCTTGTATTCATCGGAAAAAGTAATATCGGCTCGGTGTCTTGGAGTAACAGGGCCAGCTTCTATCTTGTTCCTTACATTTCGTATCGTTCTCTTCATTGTTTCAACACTAGGAAGTTGAGTGGCAGCGGCTCGACTCAATTGAGTAGAAATATTAGAAATAATGTAATGAGGAGGATCACGGCCGGTTTCTGCTTCTTGCTTCATGGATCCATATACAATTCTGGCCTCAATACCTGCTGCATCTCCTGAATGATTATGCAAGTTATTTTCTTTGATGACTGTTTCATCTGATGTAATTGCACGTCCTTTACAGGAATTTTTTTTAAATTGTTCACACTTCTAATAAATTCTGTCTTCACTAACTTTGTCGGAAGTGTAAATGAAACCGTTGAGAGACAAAAGATTTTTGCCTTTCGAACTTTTAATAAAATTTAGAGCCATGTTCAATCGAAGAAATAGCAAGATAAATTAAGGCTGTCAATTGTTGTAAGGGAATTTATATCATTTTAGGTACATGCAGAGATAAATAAGGATTACAATTATTTTAATATTTTTAATAATAAATTACCTTGCAAATACAATACCTTCCGAAAAGGATTAAAATTATTTTAATATTTTGAATAATAAATTACCTTGCGAATAGAATATCTTTTCAAAAAGGATTACAATTGTTTTTATTTTATTAAATGAGCTTAAATTAAACAACCTTCGAACAAATTTCCGTTCGAACAAATTTACGTTCGAACAAATTTCTTTCGAACAAATTTCCATTCGATCAAATTTTTTCGAACAAATTTCCTTCGAATAATTTTCTTTCGAACAAATTTATTTCGAACAAAATTCCGAATACCATAAGTATACCTATACAGGGTGTTTCATAATATATGCACAGGACTTCAGAATGTGATAGCTCATCCAAAAAGATGAAAAAAGTCTCTATTAACTTTCCCTCTAAAATGCACAATTTTCGAGACACAGGGTTGTTGAAATTTTAGAAAAAAAATCGTTTTTTTTCGAATATCTCCGGAACCGTTTATCGTACAAAAAACAGCTTTTGTAAGCATTTTCTGAGCTCTAAAGTTGACCGTTTTCGAGAAAAATCAACTTTTATGTTTAAAAACATGGTACATTTTTTGAAAAAATGTTTTTTGACTAATTAAACAAAATTTATTTTAACGTTAGAACAAGTAACAAAACCAAACGATAATTGCAAAATTAAAAAAAATATAAAAAATGATTCAAAAGTTAAATTAAATGTTGGAAATGTCCACCGTTGGATTCAATGCACGCAGCAATTCTTCGACGCATTGACTGTCTAACACGCAGGAAAATTTCCGGAGTGTTCCGAATTTTGTCGCAAGATGCAACAATGCGTTCTCTTAATTGGTCAACATTTTCAACTGGAGTAGCGTAGACTTTTTAAACAAAATTTATTTTAACGTGAGAACAAGTAACAAAACCAAAGGATAATTGCAAAATTAAAAAAAAAATGATTCAAAAGTTGTCTTTGCAAAATTCTCCAACCCGTAAAGGTAACGCATTTCGCACATTTCAGCATTTGTGTAATAAATGTATAATTTTTTTTATCAAGTAGGCTTTAAATTTTAAATCAAAAGCTACCTCCTGTCAAAATAACAATTAGTTTGTACCTGCAAAAAGTAAGTTTGTATTACAAAATTAAAAATTAATTACACAAACGCTGAAATGTGCGAAATGCATTACTTACCTTTACGAAAAGGCGAGCGGTAATTCGGCAGAAGCAAGGCGGTTGTATCAAGAAAGACATCCTTGTCAACAAGTACCACACCATAACTTGTTTCAACGTATTCACCAACGACTATGGGAAAATGGAAGTTTTAAATAGAATACTGCTGATAATGGGCGGCCTATGGAAGTTGCAAATCCCCAAGTAGAAGAGGCTGTCCTCAACGAAATTAAAGAAAATCCGAAGACAAGTACCAGAAAAATTGCTCACAGCTTAAACCTACACCACTCGACGGTTTGGAGAATTTTGAAAAGACAACTTTTGTATTCCTACCATATCCAAAGAGTACAAGCCTTATTGCCAAGAGATTTTCCGTTAAGCTTGGCTTTTTGTAGATGGATGCAAGACAAAATAGCTCAAAATCCTCAGTTTGGAGGCGAAGTTCTGTTTACCGATGAAGCATCTTTCTCGAGAGATGGTATTTTCAATTTTCACAATAACCACATATGGGCTGAAGAAAATCCACATGAAATTTCAAAAGGCCATCATCAGCAGCAATTTTCCGTGAATGTTTGGGCTTGCTTCGTCGATGATCATTTGATAGGCCCACATTTTTTAACGAACAGATTAAACGGTGCAGATTATCGACAATTTCTTGAAGAAGTACTGCCGGAACTGCTGGCAGTTGTACCGCTTTGTGTAAGACAGAACATGTATTTTATGCATGATGGAGCTCCAGCCCACTTTAGTTTTGTTGCTCGCCAATACTTGTATGACACATACCAAGACCGTTGGATCGAACTTAGTTTAGATTTTTTCTTTTGGGGCCATCGCAAAACCCTCTCGAAAACGGTCAACTTTAGAGCTTATGACCAAGAGTACCTTTTTTGTATAGAAAACATTGGAGGTTCGAATGGGCCTCTCAAAACGGTACTTTTTTCAGGGGCGTAGAAGTTGAGGAGAAAAACACCCGCTACCCCTTCAAAATCTCCACCAATTATGAGTAAAAAAAAATTTTTTCTGGCAAAAAACATAGCTTATTATGAGTAGAAAATGCTTACAAAAGCTGGTTTTTGTACGATAAACGGTTCCGGAGATATTCGAAAAACACGATTTTTTTTCTAAAATTTCAACACCCTATATCTCTAAAATTGTGCATTTTAGAGGGTAAGTTAATAGCGACTTTTTTCATCTTTTTGGATGAGCTATCACATCCTGAAGTCCTGCGCATAAATTATGAAACACCTTGTATAAGTATACGCTTGAAGTATATATAAGTATATAATATATTATACGCTTGAAAAAAGAGTATTAATTTATCTACATTATAGCATCGAAAACAAAAATCTAATAATAGACAAAAAGTATGTTTAACTTGCAAATTTGTAATAATAAACATATATAAATTGTTTGATTTTTATTGTACACATTTTAAAAAACATTTTGTTGGTATAAAAAATCCCGTTTAGAAATTATTGAAATTTTGGAAATATATAGTTTTTATTGTAATAAATAATATTCTAAAATATGAAAGTAAAACAACGTCCCTCACCCTAGCAGAAATTTTACGTAGAAACAACGTTTTTCCTACGCTGGAAAACCTAACTTTTTTGTATAATTTAATATTGAAATATCCCGGTTTATAACGTTATATGACAACGTTAAATACGCTTGAAAAAAGAGTATTTATTAATTTATCTACATTATAGCATCGAAAACCAAAATCTAATATTAGACAAAAAGTATGTTTAACTTGCATATTTGTAATAATAAACATATTTAAACTATTTAATTTTTATTAAAAATTAGAAAAGTTATCGTAGGTAAGTATTGATTTTTTGAAACAAACTCATAAATATATCTCAGACTGTGAACTCATCTCTCTTATTTGGGTTGTTTACGCTATGAGATGTAAATAAACTTAAAACCTTAAAATGTCCTCTCCTATCGTGGTAATTCATAACGTAAAAACTAATATGTCGGCTATTTAAGAATTTATAATTTAATTATATTTTTCTCTTGCAGCTCCAAGGATTCCTATTGGTTGTAGATGATGTCATGGACCAATCAGACACGCGTCGAGGTTTTCCTTGTTGGTATAAAAAAGACAATATTGGATTAAGCGCAATGAACGATGGCATTTTACTGGAAAACGGCGTTTATTCGATCTTGAGAAAATATTTTTCATCGCACTCATGCTATCTACCAGTTATAGAATTATTTCATGACATCACATTAAAAACAGCCATGGGCCAAAGTTTGGATTCAATGTCTCACAAAGATGGAAAACCTAACTTGGAGATGTTTACTATGAATAGATATAACTCAATCGTTAAATACAAGACTGCCTATTATACATTCCAATTGCCAATCGCTTTAGCAATGTATTTGGCAAATTGGCACGACGCGGAACAACATAGACAAGCTAAAACCATCCTTTTGGAAATGGGACAGTTCTTCCAAATACAGGTAGGCACTATTTATACAAGTCACTTCTCAACCCTGTTACATTAGCTACAAAGAAAAACTTAAATTACTTAAATAATTGCTTAAAAAATAATAATAAAATAATTCTATGGTCCATAATAATACATCGCTTAGTAACATTGAAAAGTTTCAATTTTTAACAGGGTGTCTTGTGGGTGAGCCATTAAATTTAATTAAAAACCTGCCATTGTCCAATGAAAATTATCCAATTGCGTATAAAAATCTTCAAGATAAATATCAAAATCCGCGTTTGCTTGCCATGCATTATTGGAATGCAATACTGCAATTACCTAGGAGTGTTCAATAGTTAATAACAGGTTTAAAGGAAAATATTGCGGCTTTAGGTGCACTTGGACTTCCCACTCAGGAATGGGGTTTTGTTCTGTTTTATCAAGTTTTTACGCGAATCGATAAAAAGCTGTGTACTCAGTATGAAGACAAAACTTCTAGTAACGAGCTGCCTTCCTTTGATAACCTATTGAAGTTTCTTGAAGATCACTGTACCTCTTTGGCGGCGGTTGAGTCGTTATCTCCAAAAAAATCTGAAGCCAGTTATTTTAAACCGGTTGGTAGTGGAGATAAATACAAACCTAAGGTAAATTTTAAGCCAAAGCCCTCTGTTTTCGTAGTCAGTTCTGCTTCGCATTGTCCTTTGTGTAATAAATCTCATTCTATTCTGGACTGCAATACGTTTAAAAGCAAAGGCCCTCATGAACGGTACATATGGGTTAAAAAACATAAATTATGCGTTAACTGTTTGGAACCTGCTCATGGCCCAATGGGTTGTTCGTCAATCAGTCGTTGTCATGAATGCAACCTTAAGCATCACATTATGCTGCATTTTGGCAATAAACCACATATTGCAAACAATAGCCCTGACGTAAGCCGCCCAAATGTGTCGTCTGTCTCGTCTTTAGTACGGGAAACTCAAAATGCCCTTCTAACCAAGGGCTCTAATAATTTTTTACTTGCAACTGCTCAAATAGAAGTTTTAGATGCTTCTGGGCAATTTCAGTTAGTAAGAGTTTTACTAGATACTGGAAGTCAAGTAAACATTATAACCAATAGCTGTTTGGCTAAGTTGGGGTTAGAACCAACTAGTCTAACTAATGCCGTTCAAGGATTGGGCCAAATGTCCGTCAATTCCTTGGCATCAGTTTCGTGTACTATACGCTCCCGCTATGATCATTCCATACAGTTTGATCTGGAAGCGATTTTGATACCAAAAATATGCTCTAATCTGCCTCTCTTTCACTTGGATAAAACAAAATGGGAACATATCCGAAACTTACCGTTAGCAGACACCCTGTATAACATACCGGGGCCAATAGACATGCTCCTTGGCGCAGATATATTTGCCGCGGTTATGTCTAACGGTAAAGTCACAGCTACTAAAAGTGACCCTATGGCGATCAACACTCTATTCGGCTGGGTTTTGATGGGGAAAATACCCTCACAGGGGTCAGGATCCTATTCTTTTTTATCGGTCCTGGAATCCCCAGTGGATAGAGCGCTGAAGAAGTTTTGGGAGTTGGAAGAAATTCCAGAAACTTTTCCACCTTCGCCAGACGACTTAAAGTGTGAAAATCATTTTCTAGAGTCACATAGGCGAGATGAAACCGGCAGGTATATTGTGGAATTGCCTTTTAAGCAGTTTCCACCTGTATTGAGCGAATCTAGATCGGCTGCTTTGCGTCGCTTCTATTCGTTGGAGCGTAAGTTGGCCAATGATGATAGTCTTCGAACTTCTTATTCAGAATTTATCCAAGATTATATTAATAGTGGACATATGTCTAAATCCGTGCCCGTAGCTGATTCCTTCTATATCCCTCCTCATGGGGTTATAAACTACAATAGTTGCAACCCAAAACTAAGGGTCGTATTTGATGGATCAGCTGGTGCTAAAAATGGACGTTCCATTAATGATAACTTGCATGTGGGTCAGGGCTCCCAGCAGGTAGTTTTTTTAAAGACTTGTCTATATTTTTGTCTTAAGTCTATAAAAGTCAATTTTTTTACCTAAAGTCTATAAAGTCTATATTTTCTGTTAAAATCAACTATTAAAAAATATTTTTTTAAATATAAATATTCAGTTTTATAAATATCGAAACCATAGTAAACCAAGTGAAACATTCGCAAACTTCGCAGTTTACATTTAAAGTTCCCGCCGTCCAGACCCGAACCGCCCGCCAAAATTATTGCTGAATTGTTTCTGGTTTGGTCTAGGGTTTCGTTTACGTTTATAGTTTCGGTTCGCTAGGTTAACACTACCTATATATACATTTTTCATGAAATTGGTAAGTACCTATACCTATCAAAGAACATGTGACAAAGAATGTGTTCCTATTCTATGTTTTATCATCCATTCCATAACCCTAAAAAAATATGTTCAGACGATAGCAAAGGTAAGTGTATAACTATAGTTTTGATAATTAAAAATTATACATTTATATTATTTAATAAAAACAAAGTTTAAATGTACTTGTACTGACATAAAAAAAATTATATTGAACGATTAAGGAAGGATGCAGAAAATAAAAAAAAATGACTAAAATATGTATGGCTCAACTAATGTTTGAAGGAGTGAACCATTCCAAAAAAGAAGCGGGGAAGGTAACTTACAAGATTAGTCGTCTTGCCCAAGATTTAGAAAAACGAAAGGCGAAAATTATAGATCAGCTGCAGCCCACCAAAAAAATGTATTTTATAACAGTTATGGTTACTTGTTAAATTTAATTCAATAAAAATTTATAATTTCAAGTTATCTCTATGTATTTTAAATTCAAATTTAGATCTTTTATCCCAAAAAAATGTATACCTCCATTTTATAGTTATTTCGGTAATTAATTTGGTCTATATTTGGTCGTTTATTTTTTATTATTAGTCTCTTAAGTCACTATTTCTCGCAACATGGACTGCTGGGAGCCCTGATGTGGGTCCTAAGTTGCAAAAGGATATTTGCACCTTACTACCCAGATAGCACAAAGAATTACTAAAAACGTCCTGAGTATATCTTGTATCAGACATTAGTAAGTTCCAAATACGTCCGAATCAGGTCCTGAACCTTCCCCAGGACGTTCCAGGGACATCCGATGTTACCAAATCGTCGGTCCCCAGAACGTCCTAAGTAAGACATCCTCTGGCCATCCTGAAATGCTTTATTGGGGACTAATGCATCGTTGCTTATTTTGACATGTCTAGTTTATTCTATTAATTTGTTAAATGGATTTTATTAAAATCATTTTAATAATTTGCTCGTACTCGCTTATTTTAGGAATTGCTATTACTTCTTCTCACTTTTGTTTAAATTTAAGCGTGCTCTTCACCGGCACCGATAGACGGCCTGTTTCCTTCTTTTGGAGCTCGTCAGTATCGCCGTTTACCTAGGTCTAATACCGTTTGGTATGGAGCACGCTCTAAATTCTACTTCGCCGCTTCTTATATCAAACACAAGCAGTTACAGCGGTGAGAAGAAAGAAGCGCATTAAAATGTCATAAATGTGACGTTTCCATGTTGACGTCTTAAAAGAGTTAATATAATTTCAGTAAGAAGTAAGAAAAGAGAATACTGTAAGATATCATATAACTAAAGTCTTATTTATGATACCTACCCTTAGTAGCTTCTAATTTTGATACCAATAAGAGGTCAGAAAAAAAGATACTTTAAGATGTTAAAAAATTTACTTCTTATTTATGAATTCATCAAGAACTCTTAATCTTGAGCTCCTAAAAATGATGTCATATTTTGACCTCAGTAAGATGTTTTTCAACAGACTTCGTACAGAAATCTTTCTGAATTGGATGCTGTCTGGGGGGTCTAAGTTACAAAAATAAAATTGTGAGTTATCAATGAAAAACAAATATTTTGCACATGTAAATGTTGAAATGTCTGAAACACGTTTGGAATTGCATATTCCGCTCTCCTGAAACCGTCAAACTCGCCTTCGGCTCGTGTGACAAACTCTTTACTCGAGCGGATATGCTGTATTCCAAACTTGTTACAGAATATACTATTAAGTCATTCTGCATGACACAAACTATTTTTAAATGATAATATATTATTTAACCAACTTGGCACTTAGACCCTTTGGAAAAACAATGCTTCAATTACGTCCTTGGGACGTACCCAGTATATAATTATAATTATAATTTTCCCAAATAAGTAAGAGACTGGACGTACCCAAAACTTCCGATATAGGTCTAGGACGTTCGGACCTATGTGGGACCCGAAAAGGACGTCCTGGGTACCTCTTGTGCTATCTGGGTGTTTACGGCTGATATCCGACAAATGTATCGACAGATATTAGTGTCAGTGCCTCATCGAAGCTATCAAAAAATATTATGGCGATTTAACCAACACCAACCTGTCCAAGAGTTTACTCTAAATACGGTGACCTATGGACTATCATCTTCTCCATACTTAGCCATACGTACTTTGATTCAGCTTGCGGCTGATGAAGGTTCTTTATTTTCTCGTGCAGCTGAAGTGCTTAAACACCATATTTATATGGATGACATCATAGGCGGGGTTGACACCATTGAAGATGGTCTTGAACTTCAAACCCAACTCATAGGTCTATTGCAGAAGGGTGGTTTCAAGCTTAGAAAATGGGCTAGCAATAAAGCTGATCTTCTGTCAAAAATTCCTGAGTCGCATCGACAATCCTCCCTACCGTTTGACAACGACAATGTCATTAAATCTTCAGATAGTTTTTCCTATTGTACGATTCCAGTAGAAAGAGAATGCAGTAAACGGAGTATCCTGTCGGAGTTAGCGCGAATATTTGATCCGTTGGGTTTTCTAGCCCCCTTATCTTTTTTCGCAAAACATCTTATGCAGCATCTCTGGACTCTTGGAATTGGCTGGGATGAGACTCCGCCGAATGATTTCATGATGCGCTGGTCTCAATATCTGCTTGAACTTCCAATACTGCAATCTCTTGTTATACCTCGTCATCTAGCCCCCCTGAGTTTGTAGCGTG